CATGCAAGCGCCCACAAATCTCGGTTCGTTACTGTGCTCGACATGATGTTCACACACTCACAAACTCTGGATCACCCTAGATATTCCACACACAACACTCTGTATACCCGTACACACACACACACTACACTACACTTACAGCTATGGCGGCTAAAGACTGCAGTCACCACCTACAGCTATGTTTATACTACTGCTGTGCCCATTTCTGCTTCGGGCAACTGCAGGTTGCGCACGAGTCGCTCAAACCGTATTTCTGCAAGGCTCAAGCAGCAAATTAATGAATGACAGGGTGCAACCTCTTGATTTATACTACTGTTTATGGTTGGCCTGCCTCGTTTCCGCCGACACTGAGTATATACAGTCCCACACAGTACTTGCTGACTGGGCTAAGTGAGACTGGGATTGGGCACCGCTGACTCAGCAAAGGTGGACGTAGCATTGCCCACTTGCCTCTTGTCTGCTGTGAGCAATGTTTGAAGGGCCACTTCCGAACCTTCCGGAAGTCTGCAGGCTCAACCCTTCTACGCTGTAGCAGTTATGACCTCGACTTTCAGAACTGCAACAACTACGACATTGACTGTCCGGACAGTGGCAGCAACGACTCTGATCTTCGGCACTGTAGCAACTACAGACTTAATCTCTATACGACACATCTATGGTTCGAGACTCGACATACACACAGGCCTCCTAACTGATGAGTTTGTGAAACTCTGACGAAACAGCCAAAAAACAGCCGGATACTTTTCTGTATAGTGAACGGGACGACGCGCAGACACCGGCACAGAATCTGATGTGCACACACAGGCAGTGTGGAGCAATGGGGAGCGAACGAGACGACACAAACACCTGCACGCACGAAAACCAATAGGTGCAGACAGACGGTCAATCAAGACAAGCTGACAGGCAGACACAAATGACCAGATTGATAGACAAAGCCAGTCAGGCACGGTCAGTCACCCAAGCAGACATAGTCAGCCAATCAAACAAACGCAGTCAATCAAATAAATAGACACAGAAAGTCAAACGGATCAAGGCAGGCAAATAGACAAACACGGACAAAGAAACAGACAAAATGATAAAGACAGAGAAGTAGACAAGATTCAAGAAGAGAGAAAGAGAAGGGTGAGGTCGATGATGTACGGGAACGTACCCTGCCTCGACAATGGTCTATAAGGGGTCAACATCATCAGGAACTCCGGTTCTGCAGCAGGCATCCGCTAGATGCATTGTCAATTCATAATCTGCTAGTAAGTTGTGTAGTCATAGCCTGGGCACTGAGCACCAAGTAGAATGGGAGGACGGGATCTATGAAGATGATTGCGAGAGTCGACTCTCACTGACACTCAGATTAAGTATCGAGTATGCTCTCATTGACACTTGGATTCAGTGTTTTGTGCGATATTGGTGCAGTCCTGATTGTCGGACTGTATCAGCCTTCCTGACTTTGAAAGTGACCTTGCAGATTGAAATCTGTCATTTCATATTCGTTGAATTATTAGTATTATTATTATAAGTTCGAATATTATTATTATTGTCACTATAATTATTACTATTATTATTTATTACCATGATTATGATTATTATTATTATTAGTATTAGTATTATTAGTATTAGTATTGTTATTATTATTATTATTCAAGTTGGATGTTTTGATTGTTTCTCTATTGCTATTTTGAAATATCATGAGATAGGTAGAGGTAAGAGATAGAGAAAGTGCGAAAAATCGAAGAGGAGAGGACATTGTCACTGTGTGATGGTGCCTGCCTCCTCCATCCTTCTCCATTTTTTTTCTTCACTAATCATCTCATGTACCTATCTCTTCAAAACTATGCTTTGCCTAATAAAGGTGCAGGCAACCAATTGCATGAAGCATACGTGGCCAATGACAGGGCGATTGCAGGAGCTCTGCCGGAGTTAAGGAGGAACTCTGGAGTCAGGGAACCATGAGGTACGCGTCACCTAACCCTTTCTCATATACCCTTACAGGCTACACCCTTCTATTGGACTGCCTGTATGGCTGTGTGATATACTGTTTTTGCTTTTTTCAAGACTAAGCTTATCAAAAGTAAAAAGGATATATGACTGAAGTAGAATCCTGCCTGATGGAAGGATGAAACCTAAAAGAACCAAGAAGGAACCTAAGATTGGTAGGGTTTGAAGAACAAATTGGTGTGATAAACGCTCATGTGTGAGCCATCACACTACTTGTGTATGCTCTAAATTCTGGCCGGATTAAGTGACCGAAATATCCGACCGCATTATCCGGCCCCCTGTTTATCCGGAACTCCGGATAAATCGAAAAATGTCCGATTTTTTTTTTTTTTTTTTTTTTTTTTTTGCGCTGAACTCACACTCCAACATGTTCAAATATGAGAGTTTTTTTGCGAAAATCACATTGGACTCCCATTCGATTGTCCATTGAACAGTTTGAACTTCATTCAGTGTTTGTGTGGTTGTGTGTCATTCATGATTTGACCTCCAAGGCGATGAACAAACTTGGGTGCGGTGGGTGGGCATCGGGCGGTGGTGGGAAACACACACATACACGCACACACACATAGACACACACACACACACACACACACACACACACACACACACACACACACACACATACGCTCACAATCACACACGCATATAATAACTTCACCAGACCATGGTCAATCAACATACCAAAAACATAATCGAATCACCAATATGAACAAAGCAGATCACATGATGCACGTTGTGACTATGTCAACAACGAAAGACGTATGAATGCACAGGTGGTGCGTGTGTGTCTGTCCGTTTGATTTTAAAACCTCACCTGCATCTCTCTCTCTCTCTCTCTCTCTCTCTCTCTCTCTCTCTCTCTCTCTCTCTCTCTCTCTCNTGCACGTTGTGACTATGTCAACAACGAAAGACGTCTGAATGCACAGGTGGTGCGTGTGTGTCTGTCCGTTTGATTTTAAAACCTCACCTGCATCTCTCTCTCTCTCTCTCTCTCTCTCTCTCTCTTTCTCTCTCTGTTTGTCTCTCTATCTCTGTCTCTCTCTCTGTCTCTCTCTCTTCGTCTCTCTCTCTCATTCCCCTCTCTCTCTCTCTCTCTCTCTCTCTCTTTCTCTCTTTCTCTCTCTCTCTCTCTCTCTCTCTCAAAAATACATCAGCACCCATCAACCAGTGTATCGTCCTATGCCATGGCATAATCATCATCATGCCCTCCGTCGTCATCATCGTCATCGTCGCCATCATCACATAACTAAGATTTCGTCAAAACGGACATTTTTTATTTTTTGAACGAAATTGTAACTCACATATTTTGCCATATTTTTCTTTATTTTTGAATTATTTGTGATACGAACATGGGGGGTAAGGGGTAAGGGGTAAGGGGTAAGGGTAAGGGGTAAGGGGTAAGGGGTAAAGGGGTAAGGGGTAAGGTGTAAGGGGTAAGGGGGGGTAAGGGGGGGTAAGGGGTAGTGGGTAAAGGGTAAGGGGTAAGGGGTATAGAGGAGAGAAACTCGAAGATAAGAGATAAGATAACCTTTAATAAGATGTCTTTATTGCATGACCAGTTACATTCATCGTGAACCGCATAATTAATCCTCGTTGCAATTACAAACTCTTCTTCTCCTTTATCAGATCTATTTCTTATCACTACATGGTATTTCATGTGTTTGAACGTCTATACTGTAAATGGAATAAATTCGTCTACTCCACAACAGCTACGTCGAAAGCTATTCGGCATCGTATTTTCTTTGTGTCATCCGATGTGAATGTGAAAGGTGGAAGAAACCCTCTCGCCAATAGTGATGCATATGTCAGCATAAACACACCGCACTCGTTTAAGTCGCGCTGCTTTGGAATGCCTTCCACTTGCCATATATGGTTGAAGTTTTTTGTGTCAATTTCTTGACCTTGTTCGACCGACCTCATGTACAGAAATCTTGCGAATCCCCCTGTCACCTTCGCTGCGAGTTCAACATCCGACGTCAGCGAATCGTAGTACTCAATTTTCATACGCCTAAGGTCTGTCACTACGAGTGTCCAATGTTGGTTATGCGTGGCGTGAAAAGGTGCAATGATCAAATCCATATCGCTTATCACGACCTATGTGAACGAGCTGCGAACCTTTTCGTACTTTAACTTCATATCGCTATCAAATAGTTTTGCGAAAAAAAATGAGCTTAGAACTGCTATTGTAGGAATGCGCCCCTTTCCTGTTCTAACGACGTTTTCGTTCTTCGAATCGCAATTATGGTGCTTCACACGACACTCATTGTCCAGTCGGACAAGGTTAAGATAAAAATTAACTATCTGCTCGTTCAACCACTTTTTCTCTATCATTAGCAAGCTAAAATCGTTGACTCTCATCGTTAATTCTTCTTTTGTATCTTCGTTGAATGAACTTGTTATGACGTCCCTATCCCCAAGTTTCACTCGCAATCGCGTGAGGGTCTCCATCTCTCACTCCGTCAAATTCGTTGTTGCCAAGTGGACGGTCCATCCTTTTTTTGCACCTCCGGTTATCCTCCATTGTCTTTTGCGCTACACATGACAACGCGCCATGTCTTTATGTGAGCTCATGTTTCAATACGTCCATTTCTAGTCATGTTCATTGCATTCAATTTGTTGTAGTAATGTGTAGGAAGGGTTACCTTAAAAGAGCGGGGTGCTTATTAGAACTAGTAATTTACGTAGTTGAAACCAATACACTCCATTATTTTCTTTTATGCACTTCCATCATATTCATCAACCGCATGAACTAGGATTTTACCTTAACCGAGCCAGTTTTAAAAAAACTCATTTACCAATGACATCTCTTCATTATATTCATAGATAGATAGATAGATAGATAGATAAAGAGAGAGAGAGAGAGAGAGAGAGAGAGAGAGAGAGAACGAGAGAGAGAGAGAGAGAAAGAGAGAGAGAGAAAGAGAGAGAGAGAGAGATGTATCTTCATTGACACTGTTATCTGTTGTCCTCTCCAATTCACTGCGGAATCAATTATTATATCGCACGTCTCCTGCCGAAAATATTTATCTGAGTTGCGTACAAGCACTCACACAAATACACAGAGAGTCACGCCAGCCCGAACTCAGCCTTTGCATATATCTACACATTAATCGGCTGTTTTTTCTTTATTTCTCTTGTCGATCGTCTCGCTGGTTGACCTCCGTCATCCACTACCTTATGTTCATCGACATTGTCTCTTTCATCCTCATTGTCATCACGCTCGTCTACATGTACGTCTACCCCTTCATCGTTTAACGATATACAATTAATCACCGTCTGTGACGTGGTTGATCCCTCTAACTTCCTCTTCCCGTCCTTCTCCGCCTCATCCAGCAGATTCATCATCTCATCGGAATCTTTTTCCACCTCACTCGCACGTTCTACATACCCACCTTGTTGCATTCCATCTGAAACCGTCATGTTCGTGGAAGGAGTGGGGCTCTCCATCTGCGATGCACTCTGGTTTTCCACTTGAGTTATTAGAGGAGGTCCGTACGATGCAACGTTCGAAGGATCTTTGTCGACATTCCGTGTTCCCTTGTCCATCCCCATTATCTTGACATTGGTTTGACTCATCGCTTCCCCAACATTGGAAGCCAAGTGCGTCATCGACTGCCCCCCAAGCTGTGAGCATCCCAACTGGATTGTCTCAATGCCTTGACACACAGGATGAAGTTCGATCTTCCAATCGATGGTCTTGTATGACCGGCTTGACGGCAAGTCATAGAACTTGTGTTTATATTCGAGCTGATTGTTGGAGTGCAGAGAATCGAATAACAATTGAGCCTTCTCCTTAATAGCTGCCTCGTCTGCTCCGTCGTTTTCGCGCCTGACACAGAAGGCGATTTCGCTCTTCGTCACTTTCAGCCACAGTACTTCTGCCAGTTTCGGTTTGACTTTCCATCCTGATGTTAGATGCAGTGCCATCATCCACTCTCCCTTGAAAATGCATGGCTCGAATACGTCTGTATGCCACAAAATGTGATGCCCCCACTTCTCAGATGTCGTTTCTGGCACCTTGTCTTCAATTAAGTAAGGCCGTTCGCAGGCCTGCACAATGCGATCGGGAATATCATCACCGGGCATCAGCCTCGGAAAGGCATCTGGAACCGCCAAGTCATTCTCATCGGCGTCTGCCAGTATGTTGTGTTCCGTGTTTCCTTGAAGAGTGCGAGGCCTCCCCTGAAACCCGTTATGATTGCCATTAATCAATGCATTCGCAAGTTCTCTAAGGGGCGTAGGTGAATCCGTTTGCATTTGTTCAATGGAACTCGCCCTGTCGGTCACGTCAAGCATCAGACTGCTCGCACCTCCCGATTTTGTGCGACCTTCTTCTGGATTCTCGTTCGGCACGCTGCATGCAGGCACACTTTGCATTCCGTCTCGCAAACGTTTCACTCACTCTTCGATTTCGAGGTCCGATGTTTCGGTCTCCTCGTCGCTCTCGATCGGATTCCATGCATCGATTGTTTTGGCAATGTTGCTGTACTCTTCATACGTCAGCATTGCCTGATTTGCAACGAACTTAATTTGTTCACATCTCACCACGAACATCGCAAACGCACCCACCTGCGCTTTATGGTAGCCACCATACGCTTCCTGTGCCATCGCTTTGCGGACTATGTAGTCATACTCGAATGGCGACTTGGGTTGGCGTTGGAATAAATATTCCCATATCTTGTTTCTCTTCTTGCCCAACTTGTGGTACATGTCCCTGTCCGGACGGTGCGCAGTCTTCTGTCTCTGAACCGTGCAATCGTTTCTCACGTCCTTCCTAAGAATTTCGATGGCCTTCGTCAAGTACAAAATGTTTTTGGACGACGAGTCGCATGCGAAAACATGATAGCCAGCGTGCAAAAACTCCCACACAAGTCTAGCATGCGGCTTCCCGATAAGAATCACCCCTTGATCCTCGTGCAAAAACGAACTACACAACTTCTGCAACCGTTTGGAATGTCGTTCCCACCGCTCATATACCTCTCGTTTGTTTTTTTCCTCGCCGCTGTGCCTCGCTGCGCACCTCTTGAAATGTTCCTCCTCAACGTTTAGCTCCACTATCTCCGCCTCCAATTTAGGGGCCCTCGTGACCTTCTTGAGGTCGCTGCCCTCGACATGCAGGACGATCGCCATCGTGTCCTTATAATCGACTTGCCAGTTTCCATACTTGCTGACAGTCGTCCCGACCCCAAGATAACGTTTCTAAGTCCCGGGTATCACGTCTACATCGTCCCAGTTGTAAAGCTGCTTCATGACGATCTTATGTTGTTTTTGCGGGGCAAAAAGAATCAAAATCCAATTATTATCGCACAATTTCGTTATCATTTTGTGCAAAGCATCGAAATCAGCTGGTGACCATGCAAGGCACTCCTTCGGGTTGGCGAGATCGAGGATAGTCGCCTTGCAATTCAAGTTCGTGGCCGCAGTCACAATTTCGTCGGCCGCGGACAGCAACTCCTTGGGGTGCATGTTGATCGGTAGCAATGTCGACTGTCGTTGTTTTTTTTCCCAACTCAGATTAAGCGCAGCGTTCTTCAACCGTCGCAACTCAGCTGTCAGCAAGTCCACTCTTCCAATTGCATGGTATACGAAGTACTTGAAGTGGAAAGGCGCGTCCCTATACAATGTCTCTGTGGCCTTCAGGCCAGCTCTTTTCAGACCTTTTTCCTCTTGCTCTCCGCCGAGTCTTTTTGGAACCTTCCGGACGTATTGCAAAGAGATCCTATCCCTTTCCTCATCCCATTCGGCTGCCCTCACACCAAACCTTTGCTCCACTTTCTCATAGTCGAAGAAGTTCCCGTCCTTCCATTCTCTCGCCTCTCTATTCTCCGATTTGAAAACGATGTAGTTGAACAGACGCATCATGTATCTCTCGCGCATTATAATGTCGTGGAGGTTGGCCATGTTCAACTTCCCAGGAGGAACCAGTCTAGTAGTGGCGATGACTCTCTTATTTATCATCAACCGCAATGCAATTTCCTTCTCTCATGTCGTCATATCTCCAAAACATTTGAAGTTTGACAGAACGAGATCTTTGAAGGACACCGTAGCGTTTGGTCCCCCGTCCCTAGCCGGTATGCAATGGAACACCTCCTTCTTCCCCTGCACCTCTTCAGTGAATTGGCCCGACACCCGGTCTTCCTGCTTCCCGGGCAAGTCAATTGGGCATTTGTTGTCGTGTAGCGGCAACTCCCCCGCCTCGAACTTCAGAAAAAACTCCTTTACCAATGTCCATATCCTGTCCTTGCATGTGGCGACATTCATGTATCCCCTCATTCTGTTCGTCCAGTCCTGTTGCCACTTCGGAGCCAAACACTCGGTTCACAGTGATTTCTCACATGACTTCCCCATGCACGCCCTCAAAAATTTCCTCCACTTTTCCTGGTGCGTCAAACCGGCGGGATTCCCTTTGGACACGTTCCCCACAGGGCCGATCCGTTTTTTAGAGTCCCAAAATCCTCTGATGTCCTCCCAGGCTTGGTGGAACGACGGCAACATAGCACGGTCAGCTCTCATGGTGCCGTATATCGAAACATACGCGTACCCGTTCGTATGGTCGTCGTCGAAATAAATGATCCGCACACGATCATAATTCTGAAAGTCGAACACCTCCACTACTGCAGATTTCTTCGCCACTGCTCTTTTCATAGCTTCGGAAGTATGTTGGTCGGCAACCGGGTAATTGAAATACTCATCTGCCCTATCGGGATCGAAGTCCTGTGGAAGGACGCGTATCCCTTGGCTGTTCTCGTCCATTGATGGCGTAATCGGAGCCAGCACCAACTCCGGTGGATCCCATGGAGCCGGATCATCCTCTGACCTTGGACGAGTTGATGCATCAATTGCCGCTTCGATGCCTGCAACGATGACCGGGTTCAGCGATCGCTGATTGAAGGCGATATCTCCCATGGGAATTGGAAGAATTTGCACGACGTCAATGACCACCCTCGGCGGGTCTCTTCTCTTTTTGCCGTCGTCGTCATACTCGAGGAAGAAGCACTGCGTCATATTGACCACACTGGGTTTCTTCGTCTCCTGCTCGTCGTCGTCAGGGAGGGGGAGCAATCGAGGGGCCACCCCTTCAGCATCGTCGCTGGAGTCGTCCGATTTCTGGCGCCTTGATGGCCGCACGGGCCTCCTGGGTTGTGACGTTTTGCGAACCCGAGCACTTGATTTGCATTTCACATCGGCTTCACCAAGCTTTCCTTGAGATGCATCCAAGGCGACCCGAGCTTCGTCCATAACTTTCCTTCGAGACTGCTTCTTAGGCGCAGCTGGCGTCGGCGACGATTGCGCTGTGCGTTTTCCCTTCCTCTTGGAAGTTAGCCCCGCGGAAACACCGGCATCTCCTCCTTCGTCTTCCAATTCCTCGTCTTCCATTTCCGAACCACTCACACTGCCACCGCCCACCCCACCGCTCACCTCAACCTTTTCCCACTCCATGTGGTCAACAGCTCCTCGAACGTGTTCTCGCCGCTCGCCACTACCACACTCCCCTTCATCCTTGTCGTGTTCTACATCGGCCCTCACCCGAGCTTCGGCACCTCCACCACTTTGCCACAGCTCATTCACGTCGCAAAAGCCTTCACCTGGATGTGCCCTGGCGTCGCTATCAACCGAGAATGCACTTGCCGAACCCGTGCATCATCCTCCGTCTCTTCGTCTGACTCCTCGTCCATTCGACGTTGAGAGGTGTCCCGCGAGCGTGAGCTGGTACCAACACGCGAGCTCACCGGAAGATTCGAAGGAGGTCTGGCGACCACCTTCTTCTTCGGAATGTTTCCCGATGACCCACCGACCGAACGCCTCTGGTAAGTAATAATTGTCTCCTTCCCGCCGACAGGTTGTTGTTGTGTCGTGTCGACATAACCTGTCGGCGATCGCTAGAGCACACTGATAAGCCTGCGAGACTTTCGGCAGGATCGTCGAACGGGACAATAGGTAACGTGAGTTGGTGACCAGCGGCGACCGTCGGGAATTGACCACTTTTCCTATAACCGTTGGTCATGCCGAGGAATTCAATGGGTAAGAGCATCCTCAACACATTCCCATCTCGCTTGCTGCCAAAGGCTTTCATAGCGAATACCTTCTGACCATACCCCTTGAATAGAGCGAGGTCGAGGCTCGCCTTGTGGTCAGTCTTGACCCAGTCAGTACCCTGCTCATCGTACACCGAAGTGAGGAAGAACTTCCTCAATTCTCGCTCGTCGACCTTGCCCTTCTCCGCCGTGGCCTTGTCAATTTCAGACCTGATGATGCCACCACAACAGTACCAGGTCGCCCCTTCGTCTTCCGTCAGAAACACAGCAGCGCCGCACCCGGCCTTGCCGGCCACACCGACCCAGTCGAGAGCCCGCAGCTTGTCGCGATACAGTTTCGACCTGTTGTTGTACCTCTTATCCGCATCACTCGGACCCTTACGACCTCTACCTGAAGGAGATATCCATAAGAAAAAAAAGGAGGTTGGTAATCAAAAGTAGAGCTTTTGTAGAACTCTGGACCCCCACCTTGCACACGCCGGTATGCGGGGGTCCAGCATTTGTGAAACGCTGGACTTCCGCCTACCGGTGGTCGCTATTGGCATTTGGGTGGCATGTTCGAACGATTGATCCCAGCCCTCGATCCAACCGACGGCCAGGGGTCCAGCGTTTGACAAACGCTGAACCCCCTCCAAAAGCACGGCCGGTGGGCGGGGGTCCAGCGTTTCACAAACGCTTGACCCAGCCCTGACAACCGAGGCATTGG